TTGCAGCTTGTGAAGCTTCGCACGTGTTTAAAATGGGAAGAAGAAGATCTAAAAGAAAGCCAGCACCTAAAAGAAGGGCAGATCCCCTGGATAAACAATTCAACTGTCCTTTTTGCAACCACGAGAAGTCATGTGAAGTTAAAATGTAAGTCCTCTGGTCTTGAGCAGTCAAAACAAACGCACGCATGGCGTACGTGCTTAAATATTTCTTGAAATTTAACTAAAAACGTTCAATATTGTGCTTCTTTATATTGCGCTGCGATGTTCTCGAAGAACTGAAATTTATTGCTTGTCAAAGGACTTGAATTTTTATTTTTAGCTGCACCGAAAGTAATTGTGGAATTGATTGTAATTGTTTTTTCATACATCCTCTATTTTACCTTATTTTACCACTAAGAACACAGTGTTAGCTTACCCTTAAAGATTAACATTTGACTGTTTTGGTGTTGTATTTTCAGGGATCGGGTTAGAAATACAGGGCATATATCATGTCGAGTTTGTTTGGAAGATTATCAGACATCCATTACATGTATCCTTTAGAAAACAAAAGAAGAAGAAGAAATTAGTACGAAAGGGCTAATCGAGGACACTGTTGTTATATCTTCCTCTAAAGATGGGATGGTACATTGTATTTTTGATTTTGTGCATGGTTATCTGAGTAACTGTAAGGTCCAGCTGTTTGCAGGACATAAACAGTGCCTCCACTCCTCTGGTGTTAGGGAGCTTTCAAGCAATGACGATGGCAACAGCAACGACAACGGCAAAAAAAACAATAGATTTATAGTAGCAAAGCAACGACTTTAACTTGTTCGGTCGAAATGGCTAGATATTGGCCTTATTCTTTTTTGTGATTACAGCTGTATGTTGAACTTGACTTCATCTCGGTCCATAAAAATGCCAAAAAAGAACTTAACCAATATTTAACAATTATTGCTCGAGCCTGAATGGGCTATTGACTCAGAGGCTATGAGGGCGAGAGGAATAATTGTTTTAGTAAAATTCAACTAGTTGGTGAAAAATATCGAGAATGAAAAATTTTAGCTAGTTAAAGCTAGTTAAATCCTCTTTTGATGCCAAAAAGCCCGCGCTTTTCACTACTAGTGGGCTGTAACATATAGCCTAGTAGTAGCTTAATCAATCAGAACGCAGCATTGATAATAGACCACTAGTTGGATTTTACTAAATCCAGTTATCTTGCCCTCGGGCTTGGTCAATAATGCTTATAATATAATGGTGCAGTCCTAAGGATCAAACCTGGGGTCAGTTTAATAAAACTTTTACATGTGTAATTTACAAGTGTAGCTATTGCTTTCAGACTCTACAACAATGGCTGCACTTGTAAATTACACTTGTAAAAGTTTTATTAAATTGAACAATCTCCACTAAAACTCAAATGCTTCTTCCAGAGAAGAATATATTCCACAAAGGTTGACTGTTTTGTTATAGATTCATTGCATTAACATTTGACCTTTATGGCCTTTTGTCTTATGTCTGTCATTCGTAAATAATAGCTAGAACGATATAGCTACTCTGTTGTCCAATCAGTGCTTATGGCTGGATTCTGGGCAGATTTTATATCATCAGTATGGAATTTCTGTTGCTGAATCGCAGACCTTTTTCCTCACGAAACGTCCTCAGTGGTGAGGAGCGAGAAGAAATGGCTGTATTCACAGGCTATTGAATGATATGAAATGTAGCCCATTATGAAAATGTATGATGATAGAGTTTATTTAGGCAGCACTTAAAAGGTGTTTGCAAAATCAGTGGTGGTGAATGATGAAGTGTTAAATTAGCAACGATCATTGGTGGCGCGACCCTTGTCTGAAAATAAGACATTGAAGCAACAAGTTCAAGACTCTGAGCCTGGTTCAAAGTAAAAGTTTGAGACTTCTAAGATATACCAAGATCAGATCAGAAGTTTCTAGGTAACATGTGGCATCTTTCTGACATAATTATGTGCC